CATTGACAAAACAATAACAGAGTAGCCCTTCTGTTTATTCTACAGAATCATTTATCATAATATGAAATGAAAGGTATTGAAAACAGTTATCATTCTGTTTATTCTACAGAATGTTTGATTACTTTTCGATACTATGATAAAATTGATATACACCATCAAGTAACGCGACAGTTAACCAATGACGGGTAAGATTCTCCAGAAGGGAGGACAACCTAAGACAGGTGCTGTCGGGCTTGAATTGGGTGGTGGAGTTGATATACAACGTCATCAATTAACGCGACAGTTAACCAATGACGGGTAAGATTCTCCAGAAGGGAGGACAACCTAAGACAGGTGCTGTCGGGCTTGATTGTAGAATTACTACCAAAAGGGCATTAAGTTCAATACCTAATTGGGGGTGATCACAAGTAAGAAAAATATGGTTTTGGTTGACTTTATAGGTTTAATATGGACTCTCAGTCAATCATCTCATAAACATTAAATTTGGAGAGAGATTTCCAATGTTTGATCATTTAAAACTGTTGAATTTCTTTATCTGTAGTGATAAAAATTCATGCACCCTTTGTTAATTCTCTGAGACTTTCGAATATGCTTTTCGCTCTGAGAATTAACCTTTAAGGGGAATACATGAAATTGAAGGTGTTGAATATCCCTTCTGTTTATTCTACAAGACTTTCGAATACTTTTCGATTAGTAGAATTAATTCCCAAAAGGGGATTGGAGGTGGTAATAGAAGAATTAATCACAAAAAATATGGTTTTGTTGACTTTATAGGTTAACATGGACACTCACTCAATCATCTTAGAAACATTTAATTTGGAGTTCCAATGTTTGATCATTTTGAATTGTTGAATTTCTTTTTCAGTTTGTTCCCATGATTCCCTTCTACAGAAAGAATAATTGATAGAAAAACACATTCAATAGCCCTTATTCCATCAAAATAGCTTTCTTGTTTCAACATATATATTAAACCAGTCCACGCCTTATGTTTACAAAAATTAATTGTGGTCTGAAATATAAAAAAATTCCAAAGAAGAGTTACCTCGCTTTAATAAAGGGAAGGAAGTGTTGATAAAAAAACCAGACCACATCTATCCAATAATTTTAAAACCATTGACTTTTTTTATTTCGCATTTCTCTTATATGTTGTAATTCTTTCAACTGCATCGATTATATTTACTCCTGAGGAAATGAGGGATTTGTTGTTTGAGACAAAGTTGGCCACTTTCGGGATGAGAGATTATAGCGCAGAGAAGAAACCGTCTCCTTCGAATTTTTTTTGTTCCTGTTTTAAAATTAAAGACATCTTATTTTTTTTAATGCGGTTATTTTATACTGTATTATTATAGTGAATCTTGTGTGTGGTTGGGTAATTTATATGGAGTCTGTTATAATACATTTTTAGCAGTTTGGAGGAGTCTGTTATAATACATTTTATAAGTTTGGGGGAGTCTGTTATAATACATTTTAACAGTTTGGGGAGTCTGTTATAATACATTTTTAGCAGTTTGGGGAGTCTATTATAATACATTTTAACAGTTGTGTCTTTCGGATATGACGCATTGAAAAAGCTGCGCATGCGCAGAAGTGAAATGCGTCATATCCGAAAAGACATATACCTGCCATCTCAAAACCGGATCAAACTGGATGCGCAATATCTGAAAAGACATATACTACTATTGACGTCGTATACTCAATTGTTTATTTATTTAAAACGCGATACATTTTATGTGGGAAATTCATAGAAGCCGATTTCGCTGCCTGAAAATAAAAAAATTCAAATTAAGCAAATATATTTTATACATACATCACTTCATCAGGATTCGCTCGCTTCATTGAAAACTACAAATACCGGAATAAAGAATAATTCCTTGATTTGGTAATCTGATTATCCGACGGAAAGTTTGGCAAAACTTTAATGATCGGCTATTTTGGTATTAGCGGGATCCGACATTTGACAGAGACCCTTAACGAAGTGAAAAGTTCACATTAATTTCTAACAATTGTTCGAGAATTTAGTATGGTGTAGAATATCTGCTACCTGAAGGGTTAGAGGCTGATTCATTT